TGTGTGTATATGTGTGTATGTGTATGTTTGTGTATGTATGTGTGTGTGCGTGTGTGTGTATGTTTGTGTGTGTATGTCTCTCTGTGTGTGTGTATGTGTGTGTGTTTGTGTCTGTCGTGTGTCTGTGTTTTTATCCATGGCAATTTGTTTGAGAAGATGTAATTTTAAAGTAGCTTTAACTTACAAAGTGATTCTCTTGTTGAAACGTACATGCACAACACGTTAAACAAACAAATTATATAGAGGCTCACACGAAATTAACAGATGCAATTATATTTTCAGACGCTTAATTATCATATTGATTATCATATTGCCATTAATAATTTGACAGGAAAATGGTGGTGGTGGGGGCGGGGCATGGGGAGGGGGGCGGGATTGAACGATAATTAAATGTTTTTCAACAAAAATGAATACGTCTTATTCAGAATATAAAGATGTTGTTAAATAAGCTAAATACAAATAGAATTGATTACCTATATCAGACACGAACAACACTTTTAGTTTTTGATGAGAACATCGTGAGAGCGGAACATTCCAGAGAGAAATAGTCCAATGTGGAATCTGTATGACCTCGCCCCTCACCTGACGACATCACGCATCCCTGATCTACGGTGAGATGTCGACTCAATTACCCGTCACTGATCTCCGGTGAGATGTCGACTCCATTACCCGTCACTGATCTCCGGTGAGATGTCGACTCCATTACCCGTCACTGATCTCTGGTGAGATGTCGACTCCATTACCCGTCACTGATCTCTGGTAAGATGTCGACTCCATTACCCGTCACTGATCTCCTGTAAGATGTCGACTCCATTACCCGTCACTGATCTCCTGTAAGATGTCGACTCCATTACCCGTCACTGATCTCCGGTGAGATGTCGACTTCATTACCCGTCACTGATCTCCGGTGAGATGTCGACTTCATTACCCGTCACTGATCTCCGGTAAGATGTCGACTCCATTACCCGTCACTGATCTCCGGTAAGATGTCGACTCCATTACCCGTCACTGATCTCCGGTGAGATGTCGTCTCCATTACCCGTCACTGATCTCCGGTGAGATATCGACCACATCACCTAACACTAATCTTTAAATATGTCAATCAGTCTAGCATCATATGCTCATTGAATCAATGTATACCAATATGCTGGAAAGCTGAATATGAGAATATCAAGATGAAACACACACACACACATACACACACACACGCACACAAAACAGAAAACCCAACAATTTATGCACAACAGGCACACATAACTGAGGGTGTACGTCTGTCTGAAGCAAAAGGGCGAATAATAATGATATGGGAGAAACGAAAATAGTGGAACTCAGGGTGTAGCTAATAAATGTCAGATGAACACTTTTGTTTAAATTGCGAAAAACATGAAGTAGGAACTAAAATAGCATGGACACAAGGAAAAAATTAATAAACTGAGAAATACCAAAATCTGGCTACTTTCAGACGCCGGAAGCTCGAGTACAGAATCATTGAATTAACCAAAGGATACAACCAGGCACGGATGAATGCGTGAAAGGTGAGTGTCGTGTGTCGGTAACCAATTATGATAGCCCAAGAAATGAAAGTAAAAATATCTTCCTGAAGTGGGTTGTGACCTCGTTGTCTTACTATTCTGTAAAATTCTCCTGACGGAAGTAAAAAAGCTAAAGCGCTGACAGAATCAACACTAGTAATAAATATTAGAAGCCCCATTTGTGAAAACCAAAAAAAAAAAAAAAAAAATGTTTTTCCAGAATATGTGAAGCAGGGATTGTTGACAAGACATGATTAGATTCCTGGGATTGAGCAAATCTGAAGGGAAATAAGCAAACTGTCTGAGCTGACAGCTACAGTACAGAAACAGCTCGGTAATGCGGCCTGTCATTGATTCCCTTAAACAAGATGAATATTTCGCTTTTCAAACATATCTGGTATACTATTAGAAATATTCAGCACAAATAAAAACTTGCATTCATATGTATATATATATATATATATATATATATATATATATATATATATATATATATATATATATATATATATCTACACATATAGATGTTGTGAGTGTGTGTGTGTGTGCGTGTGCGTGTGTGTGTGTGTGTGTGTGTGTGTGAGTGCGTAAGTGTGTTCCGGTATTTGTCCAATTTTCTATTGGTGGTTATGTTTTTTTTTAATACGATTTTTCCTATTTGTGTGTGTGTGTGTGTGTGTGTGTGTGGTATAAATTATATGTGTTAAAGCTAATTTAAGACATAAAAAGAAGTTTTATAGTGACGTCCAAGGGCTGTATTCATATGTATATATTTATCATCATCAGGAAGCAGGTCCTTTGCAGAACGTCGCTCTCATTACGTCTGCCTGAAAGAAATTCGGCCACACGCCAGCTCTCCCTCCTCATGTACTTGCATTTTCAAGTTATCACTTATATCCTGTGCCCATCTTTTTCTTGGTCGGCTCCTATAATCTATTTAAAAAGAAACATAGTTCCTGTTTCCACTAACTTTGTTTACTTCCCTTCAAACTAACCACTGAGTGATCTTGTTAACTCCTAGATACATGTGACTAAAGTCTGATTTTACACTGACATAAAGCAATCCGTACATATGTTCTGAAACACACCTATACTTAACTAAACATATGTCGAGATGTCAGCGTCTTGACACTGTCCGATTCACTGTTAAATGAAAGGCCAGCGACAGAGAATAATGCAGGGTAGACGTGATGTTGCTGGTGAACAATCCGGGAGTCGGCGAGCCTTAATCGGCCGCCACAGGAATGACCACCGCTTTACAACTGCTCATAATAAAATGAGCAAATCAAACAATTGCCGCTCAATTGCAAATGGGGCCACAATTAAACTATCAGTCTCTAATTTTCGATAAGATGTCTCGACAGCAAAAGTCCAACTCCTGGCCTTCTGGTGACGGAGAGCAGGATAAGAGGCAAAAAATTTAAATTTTATTCCTAGGTCTACCCAGCCTTGAGTGGGTACCAGGTGCAGTCCTAAGAAGTAAAGGCGTTATGCTGACCACATCACCCACCAAGTGTCGATTGGTCTATAAAAATATAGGTCTAGTCTTATATTCCCAATGCGCCTAAAGGCGTGGAAAAGGGGACTTTTAGAATGGGCGATTGTAATTTAAGATTTAAACCTCCACTGACTTGTGACCATACCCTACCTTGGGAGTAAACCCTGGGGAAAAAATCTGGGGCTGAAATCCCTAAGGGGGTTCAGCAATATTTACAGTGCTGTTCCTGCAACATCCTCGGTGCCAGGTTGTATTGGCATTAATCATTCCCTTGGTATCAGTGGCGACGTAGACAAGCCGTACCTGCTGCCAGGGCAATAGTCTGTACTTCAGATCAAAATGTCCAGGCCTTTGCCCTGGAGAGGTCATTGCAGCGATGCTCAACAGCTTCGACACCAAAATAGACAGCTGAGAGCTGTGAGATGATGATCCTATCGTTTATTGGTGCACAGATGCGAGGTAGTCTTGTCCTAGACATCTAAAACAACGTGACTTGACATTAACACATGAAAAAATGTGGGACAATGTGACTTGACATAGATAGCTGAAACAATGTGGGTCAATGTGACTTTTACAAGACAGCTGAAACAGTGTGGGACAATGTGACTTTTACAAGACAGCTGAAACAGTGTGGGACAATGTGACTTGACATAGATTGCTGAAACAGTGTGGGACAATGTGACTTGAACAAGACAGCTGAAACAATGTGGGACAATGTGACTTGACATAGATTGCTGAAACAATGTGGAACAATGTGACTTGAACAAGACAGCTGAAACAGTGTGGGACAATGTGACTTGAGCAAGACAGCTGAAACAATGTCGAACAATGTGACTTAAACAAGACAGCTGAAACAGTGTGGGACAATGTGACTTGAACAAGACAGCTGAAACAGTGTGGGACAATGTGACTTGAACAAGACAGCTGAAACAATGTGGGACAATGTGACTTGAACAAACAGTGTGGGACAATGTGACTTGAACAAGACAGCTGAAACAGTGTGGGACAATGTGACTTAAACAAGACAGCTGAAACAATGTGGGATAATGTGACTTGAACAAGACAGCTGAAACAATGTGGGGCAATGTGATTTGAACAAGACAGCTGAAACAGTGTGGGACTATGTGACTTGAACAAGACAGCTGAGACAATGTGGGACAATGTGACTTGAACAAGACAGCTGAAACTGTGTGGGACAATGTGACTTGAACAAGACAGCTGAAACAGTGTGGGACAATGTGACTTGAACAAGACAGCTGAGACAATGTGGGACAATGTGACTTGAACAAGACAGCTGAAACAATGTCGAACAATGTGACTTGAACAAGACAGCTAAAACAATGTCGAACAATGTGACTTAAACAAGACAGCTGAAACAATGTCGAACAATGTGACTTGAACAAGACAGCTGAAACAATGTCGAACAATGTGACTTGAACAAGACAGCTGAAACAATGTCGAACAATGTGACTTAAACAAGACAGCTGAAACAATGTGGGACAATGTAACTTGAACAAGACAGCTGAGACAATGTGACTTGAACAAGACTGCTGAGACAATGTGACTTGAACAAGACAGCTGAGACAAGGTGACTTGAACAAGACAGCTGAGACAATGTGACTTGAACAAGACAGCTGAGACAATGTGACTTGAACAAGACAGCTGAGACAATGTGACTTAAACAAGACAGCTGAGACAATGTGACTTGAACAAGACAGCTGACACAATGTGACTTGAACAAGACAGCTGAGACAATGTGACTTGAACAAGACAGCTGAGACAATGTGACTTGAACAAGACAGCTGAGACAATGTGACTTGAACAAGACAGCTGAGACAATGTGACTTGAACAAGACAGCTGAGACAATGTGACTTGAACAAGACAGCTGAGACAATGTGGGACAATGTGACTTGAACAAGACAGCTGAGACAATGTGACTCGACGACCGTGTGAGTGACAACAGGCATACATCACCTGTAAACACTTGACGATCTTACACATCTCCTTGCCTAGGTACCAGATTCCCGTGATGTCTTCTGCCATGGTTGGAGGCAGGCAAATGAGAATCACAAGAAAGTCTGCTACAGCGAGATTCACAAGGAAAATGTTGGTGGCACTGCGCATTCTGGGATTCCTCCAAACGGCAAACCACACCAGACAGTTGCCGACAAGCCCAATGACCAGGACGATGGCAGATAAGATAATAAAAAGACACACAGTAAAAATCCCAATGTCTGATTTGAATAGATCATCGTCGGTGCTGTAGTAGTCTGCGGTCGTGGTGTTCAAAAAATCCTGGTCTGTATTAGTGTTAAAAAATAGGTTGGATGTGCCCGTTATGAAGAGTGTCACTGTGGGCGTGAAGTTATGAGAGGTATCGCTCTCAGTTTTAGCTACATCGCCGGTATACACAGCCGCCATTGTGGTCGGCGGAGCTGACAATGAAGATTATAGAGACAGCAGCCTAGGCAACAACAGGACAAGAGTTTACGATCTTACTGTAGCTTTCAGGCTATTTATAGGTGGATGCCACATCCATTCTTGCATGCCAGGAATCTGAAATTGCAAACAGTTCACGGTCAGAAGATATTGTGCAATGAAAGTTTAACTTAAATATTCAAGTGTGGTGTGTATGTCTGTCTTGGTGTGTGTGTATTTGTGTGTGTATGTGTGTGTGTGTACTTGTGTGTGTGTCTGTGTGTGTGTGTATGTGTGTGGGAAGGCTGAGCTAAGAAGCATGCGTCAGGAAATTTATATTTTGCTAAATAAAGTGCTATTTAAAAGAAGCTTATATTAAAGTTAAAGAAGGATAAATGAAACAGACGAGCTGTTGTAATGCTAAGTTAGACCTTCGACTACGATGCCTTTGTTGATTGATAGGGTTCAGGAAATGTGTTGAACATTGAGATCATTCTATTAACAAGAGGAAAAGGTGCCAGCTCTGTGTTTGTGACCCCATCGTGCAAAATTTACCGGCTGCACTCTCATTGATGCAGACTGTAATGAGACCAATCTCTCGCCCTGATTTCGAGTTTAAAAACAAAAACATCGGCCAAGGTCACCAAATAGATCTCGTGTCGGTTCTCAAATCGATTTACAAGAATAAAACACACCGGATCAGCACTTTTTCCGGTTTGTTGGCAATGCTGTCTTTGTTAAACTGGTAATTTCACGGCTTTCTTGAAAAATCAGGTAAGTGGTCACACCCCCCCCCCCCCCACCTCTTTTTTACAATTAGTTTTCGAACTGCAAACAATCTGTTTTTATGTGTTGTTTCAGTGATATCTCTCATCTTGACATCCACATGACTCTCTCGCTGTTTCAGCTGTGTGTTTACTTTGTCCAGAATGGCACAATGACCATGAGAGATTCGAAACTTACTCAGTCCGTTATTCAGTCTGTTGTGTCCGGTAAAAGACAGAAGAGTAATGGTTTGGTCCTGCCGGTCAAGCGTGCTGTAGTCTTTGTTGGCTTGATTTTCCGATAACCTGGCCGGCTCTAAGTGTCTCACTGTGCTTAATTATCCTTTCGCAGATTTAAATGTTCTGTCATTTCCAAGTTCTTCACACTGAAATGGTACACGTGCAGGAAAGTTCACTTTCAGGCAACAACTGTCTTGCTTTGTGAACTTTTAAGAGAAGCTTTGTGCCTTAGAGAAACTTCTACATATAAAATACGATGACGTTGTGACAGAGGTTGTTTTATAAATATTTGTTGTTCAGTATACTCTATAAACTTCGTCGGCGACTATGGCTTAGGCGTTGCAAATGCGCCGACCGTCCAGTAAGCAATGGCAAACTACTGGACGTAAACTTGTCTAGAAATCCACAGCAATAAAAACAAAAATGCTAGGGCTGGTTCTGCAAAGTCCTGTAAAGAATACGCAACTATAAACTATAATTAACTATAAACTTCAGCATGAGCTGAACAATTTAGCATTGCTCAAAGTAAGAGTTCTTAATTGCATAAGTTACCCCAATCTCCAGCTGCAAGTTGCTGAGGGTTTTACTAACCTGTTTTTGTTTCCTTCTTTTTATGTATACAGAGTTGGCCTTTTAAGTCTGAACTCAGCCTTCAACATTAATTTTAACGATAACTGACATTCTGTAGCTTGGCTATTATATGACCACAAGTGAAGTGTTAGTATATTCATTCAGTAAGCATGACGTATAGGTTAACAATTCTGCTCACGTCACTGACACTTATGGAAAATGGTGCTAACCCATATTTGCTTAAACAAATCGGCACTTGATGAATCACATGGTCAGTACCCTGCAACCCATACTTTCCGTAATATATTGTCTGCTACTTATTGCAGGGCACGTCGATTTTAGGGGCCAACTTCATTTATACATGTAGGGCATGTCGATCTAGGGGCTAACTTCATTTATACATGTAGGGCATGTCGATCTAGGGGCCAACTTCATTTATACATGTAGGGCATGTCGATCTAGGGGCCAACTTCATTTATAAATGTAGGGCATGTCGATCTAGGGGCCAACTTCATTTATACATCTAGGGCATGTCGATCTAGGGGCCAACTTCATTTATACATGTAGGGCATGTCGATCTAGGGGCTAACTGTATTTATACATGTAGGGCATGTCGATCTAGGGGCCAACTTTATTTATAAATGTAGGGCATGTCGATCTAGGGGCCAACTTCATTTATAAATGTAGGGCATGTCGATCTAGGGGCCAACTTCATTTATACATCTAGGGCATGTCGATCTAGGGGCTAACTTCATTTATACATGTAGGGCATGTCGATCTAGGGGCTAACTGTATTTATACATGTAGGGCATGTCGATCTAGGGGCCAACTTTATTTATACATGTAGGGCATGTCGATCTAGGGGCCAACTTTATTTATACATGTAGGGCATGTCGATCTAGGGGCCAACTTCATTTATACATGTAGGGCATGTCGATCTAGGGGCCAACTTCATTTATACATGTAGGGCATGTCGATCTAGGGGCCAACTTCATTTATACATGTAGGGCAAGTCGATCTAGGGGCCAACTTTATTTATACATGTAGGGCATGTCGATCTAGGGGCCAACTTTATTTATACATGTAGGGCATGTCGATCTAGGGGCCAACTTCATTTATACATGTAGGGCATGTCGATCTAGGGGCTAACTGTATTTATACATGTAGGGCATGTCGATCTAGGGGCCAACTTTATTTATACATGTAGGGCATGTCGATCTAGGGGCCAACTTTATTTATACATGTAGGGCATGTCGATCTAGGGGCCAACTTCATTTATACATGTAGGGCATGTCGATCTAGGGGCCAACTTCATTTATACATGTAGGGCATGTCGATCTAGGGGCCAACTTCATTTATACATGTAGGGCAAGTCGATCTAGGGGCCAACTTTATTTATACATGTAGGGCATGTCGATCTAGGGGCCAACTTCATTTATACAAGTAGGGCAAGTCGATCTAGGGGCCAACTTTATTTATACATGTAGGGCATGTCGATCTAGGGGCCAACTTCATTTATACATGTAGGGCAAGTCGATCTAGGGGCCAACTTCATTTATACATGTAGGGCAAGAGCCGACCAGCACTAAGATTGATATAGGATACAAGTGACTGCTGTGCACGAGGGTGCACGCGGCGGTAGAGCTGGCGAGAGATACAATTTATGCTAATAAAGTCCAACATGTGTCCGGTAAACCAATCGTAAGCTTGCCGCTCGGTCGTCCAGGTATGCAGACTGCTTTAATTATGCTACCGCGACGACTTCTTATCTCACAGTACCTTCTGCAAAATTACCAATTCGTCTTGTCCCTGTCCGAATAACATTCGGTAGTTCGTGCAGCAAGGGAAATCAACCCTAAGCTTAATGAACTCAGGTGGGCCCACTCTCTGAAAATGTATAGGAGCTCGTGGGCCGAAACATTTGTCGACGAGAGGTTACTTCTACTGATGATTAGTAGACCCCTGCTGTACATGCTTCCCTGTGGAGTTTCTTCTTATTGTACGTGGCTAACCCGCAAGACAACCAGGAAAGGCTAGTGACTATCGGGAAAGACCTTTTGACGCCTATGGAAATTCTGGCCCCCTGGTATCGCCGTGGGGATAAACTGACATCTGGAGACAGATGTCGACTGTGGACCGGGTTGATCACCCCTAACACACTATAACACCTCTGATTTCGAAAACCAATATAGAAAGATGCCCACAGGGCCCTTTGAAAGAGGGGGAGAATGATAGGCACAATCCAATTGAAACAAACGGTGACGACAATGCTAGCCCCGGACTCCGAATCTTGCCCATCGTCCGGGTTTGCTCTGTACATGTGGAAAGAGCTTCATTGGGTTGCATGGTCTGAGAAGGATGAAATGCGAGGGTGCTCCACGCAGTAAACGCCGTAGCAAAACTATTACTCCTGTGGAAGTTTCTGAGTCGTTAGGGAACGACGGGCAGGGTGTCCCCCACTCGCCCGGAGAGGCCCATAACGTTGACTGCGGGGCGCACTTTTGATGATTCCCGAGGAAGTGCGTTCCAGGATCAGGTTTCCACCTGCGAGCGATAAGGTGTCGTGGTGCAAGTTAGAAGGTACATTATGTGAGAAACTAATTCATGATTTAAAAAAGAAGTCGTTAGGCGACAAGCTTACAAAGTTTTGTGATGTAATATACGAGCACTGTTCCCGTGAGTTCGGGATAGGAGAAAAGGCGCCGCCGGGCGTCAAGCAGAATATAAGCAGGAGACAGAGGGACATTCTGAAATGTCGGGCAGAAAAGCATGCCCTCAGAAAACGGCTCAAAGCCGCTACAGACAGCGAACGGGAGGGGCTGCATGAAGTCTGGTTGCATTTGAAGAACAGACACAGTGCCCTCTGTCGCGCTGAGCGTTTCTGTAACAACAGAAGGAGAGCCAAAAGGGAGCGAGAGAAATTCTCTAGGGACCCGTTCCAGTCTGCCAGAGGTCTACTCGAGCAACCGAAGTCTGGGACTCTGGTTGTCAGTAAAGAGGAGCTTGAGTCACATTTACGCAAAATGTACTCTGACAAAAAGAGGAATGAGCCTCTCGATAACAATCCAACGATCCTTAGCGGCCTCAAGCAGCCTGAGTTGCCGAAGGTATCATTTAAAGTGATAACTCCCCTAGGTCTGAGGTTGAGTAAATTGTGAAACGAGCCAGCGGCAAGTCAGCTCCAGGTCCAAATTGTGTTCCGAACGTTCTTTACAAGCGTTGTCCGAGAGTCCTACGAATGCTTCACGGCTTGTTGAGACAAGCGTGGAGCCGAAAACACACATGTCCGGAGTGGCCAAAAGGCCAACGGGGTCTACATTTCCAAAGAGCAGGACTCGAAGTGTCTTTCCCAATTCAGGCCCATCTCGCTGTTGAATGCTGAGGGCAAAATATTTTTCTCGGTCATGGCTGCCGGCTCACACAGTATGT